TTTACCCTTTTCCGAGTAAACGCCTGTAAATACGTAGCGAATATTGACTAGTTAATTGAAAACAGATTGAAAATGTAATTACACAATTGAAATCGTATCCATTGTAAACCAGTTGAACTCTGTCAGAAAGATATTGGTTTCTGGCACAAAAGGTATAAAATATCTACGTCTGTTATGGTTTTGACTTGTTTCAGTTCATTTTTTCACTAAGTCATATCTACAACACAGACATTTCAATTAATGGTAAAAATTAAAATGGATAAATTTATAACTTAGCGGATATATATACGTATCTAATACGATAAGCCTCGGTGGTCTAGCGTTTAGCACACCGCTTACTTTCGACGGTCGCGGGTTCGATTCCTCGCACAGCATAAACTTTCGTATTTTTGACTACGATAGGTGTACCGGTCTGGGTGTTTTCTATGTATATATTGTTTACGTTATAAATACGTAAACAGTATACATAAAAAAAGTATCTATGTATTTATAACAGTTGTTTAGTACCAACAACACAAGCTTAGCTTGGGACTAGATGGCGCTGTGTGAATTGTCCAAGAATATTATATTATATAATAAGGAAGGGGAGAAAGGGGTGACATTATATAACGAGGGGGTTGGAGTGGTTACAAATTTCGAGTCAAAATCATGATATTCTAGAGCATGATTTTGTGGGTGGACGCCTACCACCCTCTTATAGGAGGGCTCTTAGATTGGATGCCCCCCCCATTTCATATACCTACCTCTCGTACAGGCATATGCATCTCCGATACGTTTCTACGTAACACTGTTCGTGGTCTGCCGATAATAGTATTCCAGCGGTTAATACATCATCGGACCACCTGGCTGGTGGTCTTATAATTATTTATTATACATAACATGACAAGGTGCACATGTTACTAACATTCTGTTACATTTCACTTGTGAACTAATATATGAAATAGAGTATTTATTCTATATTTGAATATGGAATAATTACGAGTTTTTTTATCTTATTATTATTAATATTATAAACGCAAAAGTTTGTGAGTATGGATGTATGTTTGTTACTTTTTCACGTAACAACTACTGGACGAATTGTGATTACAGTTGTATAGCTTACTAGCTACTCCCCCCGGCTTCACACGCGTGTTCTGGTATTATATATATAAACCTACCTCTAGAATCATTCTATTAATTCTATATAATTCTATTTAAAAAAAACAGTTTAAAATCCGATGCGTAGTTTTAAAAAATATACATACATATTGAGATATATAAGATGCATACATAGGGATAGACAGCGACTTCGACTTTATTTTATACTATGTATGTATGTATAAATTTGACGCGGCTGAAACCGCGGGCACAGCTAATCATTTAAAATCTCTGTAATTCATTTTTAACTTTTAATAGAATGATGCAGTGATGAAAAAGAAATTAATAGTAATCATATACAGAGATATAACTTATTATGAAGAAAGTACACTCCGGAACTTACTGCTAACTTTGAGAAATACTTTCAATTTTAAAGTACATTATTCCATAGTGATATTACGTCAATATATACAATACAAAAAAGTGTGCGATACCAGTATATCTAATAAAACATAAGCTACCGAACTCTTTTCCATTCTTTCAATAGATTCTCTTAATTATTCATTTAAAAAAATTTAATAATATATAGTTAAAAGTTAAAATGGATATGCCTGGAGGCTTTGAATTTTAACATAAGTTTAACTCTTGCATTTGATGAGTAATTTCCAATGTGACTGAAATGTGAAAAGTAAAATAACGATATTTTCATTGTAGCATAATTTACCGGAGAACTATTCTATTTTTCATCATAGTAACAGAACTAAGTCGTATATTGCCTCGCAATGTACACAAATCCTCGTAACTGTAAGATCGCTCCGAGAAGCCTGCTAATATACCAAAAACTACAACTCTTATGGGAGGAGCTTATCTGGGTAGGTATTACCTATATATATATTAGACGCGGCAATACTGGGGTTAAGTTTCAAAAATAGATATATATATATTACATTATACTTTTAAAAACTAATTTCATTCATTAATATTGAAAATATCGTATACGATTTTAAACTATAATATACTTTGGTATGCCTTTTTCATATATTCCTCAGGTACGTTAAAAATATGTTAAGAGGGGAAATATGGTTTATAACGGCGCCTAAAGGTTTCATTGCTCTCCATCTACTCTGTTAGGCCGGCTGGAAACTGTCCTGGGCAATATATAGTAATGCTATAAAGTGACATGATTTCGTTGTCATCATTTCAACCTTCTCTGGTTACCCGCCAGCTTATGTTACTACGACGATCATCTTTACTTAAAAACTATACTAGTCATGTTTCATGAAAGCAATTCATTTCATTAGTCGGCTGAGGATCATAACGAAGCGCGAATAGCAATGTCTACTTAGATAACCATTTATAACGGATGACGGACACACATAGGGTAAGTTCTCTTGGCGCCATCTATCGAGTCAAATCCATACCTTATAGCGCCCTCTCTGAAATACATACATAACTTACAAACTATTACAACCTTTTACCAAAGGGGTAAACGATATTTAATTCGCAATGAAAAATATGGGTGTTGTTATCGCGATTAAAAAGCAGCGCTATCAAAAAGGATAGTTTTCACTTACTGTGTATAATTTCTAAATTTGCTTACCGTGTAACCAACTGTAAGTTTGGATATATGTTCCTTCGGATAACTTATGCCTTGACGACTAAAATATTATTAATATTGGTTAACTGGTTTCGTTCTTTATCCCGGACAATCATTGTATAGTAATATACTTAAAGATTTGAATTCTTAATGCATAAATCTTGAACAAAACTAGACCGAGTACAAAGTTTAGAACACGTGGTTAATTTAAAAAAGGATTCTTCTTTCTTTCACAAACCCGTAATAAATTTATGCAACTTGAATAAATATTAAATTTAGAACCTATTTTTTTTAAAGATGGGTCATATAAATATTATATTACATTAAGAATATAATATTGGAAGGAAAATATTGTTATTAATTACGAGAAAACATTAATTTAGACGAGACAGTTCCATAATTTCTAAAATTATATACACTTTCTTTACATTAAACACATTTGGAAGCAGAGCGTTGGAAGTAGCGTTTAAATATATATCATTGGCAATTGTTAATGGTTCCATTACATTATTATTACAATTAACACAGCGCCGTCTAGTCCTATACTAAACGGACCTTAATCTATTTGAAATACGACTTAAGTAATTTTTTTCTTCATACAAATAATAGACATAGATAACACCCAGACCAATACAAACAATCATACACATAAATACAAATGTTTGTATCCTGCGAGAATCGAACCCACAGCTATCGAAGATAATACCACCGAGGCCGTCAACTTACATTATACTATTACTACATGTTATTGTATACAGTGGCGGCATTAGAGGGTAGCCCGGGGTCTCGCTATTGCAGGCCTCACGTAACAATTCAAGCAAATTTTAAATAACTAGAGTACCATTTTGCCTAGTGGCAGGTTGCAAAAAGTTCCCGATTTAGTTAATTTTACATTAAAAAAATGTAAAAAAGGCATAATTATATATCCGCATAATCGTTCGCATCACATACCTTTAACGTCGGACAAAGGCCCTCGCAATGGATTGTATGATATAGCCGCCATTGATTGTATACTAAATTATTTAAATTATTAACCGGGTCTTAACAATTTAAGGTCTTAAGACCCGGTTAATAAATTAAATAATGTATATTAAACACGAAAGTTTAAAATTAACTATTGTATACTACATTGTTGTAACCACTAAAGAAACAGAAATATGTATATATATATATATATATAATTCTTTACAATAATCTAAGAATTAAATTCTGGCAACGCTATATTTAATGAAATTTAATTTGTAAGTAACTAATGAAATATATTTAGTGCAACGATTTATTTGACCCTGACTATATATTTTAGATATGAGACTAAGAATAAAGATAAACCTCTGTGCACAACGCTTTTTAGACCTTCATTATATATTTTTGTATATATTTTAAAACCTATTTCTTCGTTGTTCTATTATTGTTACTGCGACCATAGTATCTCATTATATAAAATTATATTATACGTACTTTAAGAGTCCTAATCGTTGAAAACTCCCTTATTTATAAATACTAAAACATACTATAAAGCTACTATTGTATTGTCTTGCGTTTTTTTAGTACAGGAAAGAGTGAACAGAATGTTTGACATTTTTTATAAATAAGGTTAAACACGGAAGACAAGTGAACAACTAAATTCGATAAAATATAATTTGTACACCAAATATCAAATACATATATTAACTCATCTGTTAGATAATATGTCAATTTATATATCGCATGCGCGGACTATATGGGTTGGCCGGACAAACCTGGACGACTTACGACCTAGGTCATAAGGTGTTCATAGAACAAGCATATAACTATATATTCTACACAAATTAATAAAATTTAAGTGTCTAATTGTAACAAATTAACAGCCTTTTACTAATTGTATATAAAAATATAAAAGGTACTTACATTAAAAAAATGCGTGTCTGTTCTTTCGGTTAATCTCTTAAATATATGGACCGATTTTAACGGACTTTCACTCTCAAATAGCTAATGTTATAAGGTGCAACTTAGGCTACTTATATTTTATTTATATTAATTGAAAAATGTTAAATTCTACGCCTACGAGGTCGCAGGTAACTGTTAGTCAAATATATAGAAGCTGTCATTACCAAATCAGAAATAAGGATTTACATTCTTTACACCATAACCCCCACTATTTTATCAAAGCAGATATGTTCTTAATTATGAAATTACGTGGTGATGTCATTTGGTGATGATATGTAAATATTGATATAATACTTGTAAACGGGATTATATAATGGACAATTTATTATTTTTTAATATGAAGTTTTACGGCTCTGGAAATTCCCTTTCGTCAAACAATTACATTGTACAAATATTAATTACTATAAGTCCTTAGAAGTCATATAAAAATTAATAAATTTCTGGGTTTTGTACTATAGATGGTAAGGGGCTTCTTTTTTATTATATAAACTTATTAAGCCATCTATCAAAATAAGTCTCTGCAAACCATTAGTCGGACATTCCATTATTACATAGATTTTGGTATATTTGTAAACAAATAGATTTAAAATAAAAAATGTTGTGTTTATTAAAAATAGTAGTCTTAAATACTACTCTCCGTAATAATCTATAAAAGTATATAGAAGACAAAATCGAGGTAAACGTCGTCGATGGTATATGGTTTAGTACAATAATTCTATACAATCATTAATTTATACAGAGATGGTATGTCTATGGTATACATACACATACCATCCTAGATGGAATTTTTGTAATTGATCATATTTAAGTTTATATAATTAGTATATTTTCTGGAATAAGTACTAATTATATAAACTACAATTAAAATACAGTCTTTTTTATTCGTACATCATTATTACATTAAATCAATTAATTTAATATATTAAACTATGTATTTAAACAAAATTACTATTACAACACATTTCACTATCCTGTTCTCACATTCTCACATCTCACTAAATATATTCCTCGTTTTATGTGTTATATTTATGTGCCCGCTTTACTTTTTAATATGGACTATCCAAATAAAAGTATTACCTTAAATAAAAGAACAGTATACTGATTATGTATATAAAATATAAATGATATAAGATATTTAACAAAGGAATAAAATTTAACATAAAAATGCGGTAACCATTCTCTTACGGCTCTGCTATATATTTATAAGTTTAATGGACAGTCTATAATCGTTGGCTATTAAGTAAACTTTTAAGTACCGCTTTACTATAAAAATAAACAAATGTATTACATATCAAAAATCTGATCCAAATTTAAAATAAAACAAGAATAATCTTTATCTATTGCAAAATAGAATAATTAAATTCAGTCCCGTTTCGGCCGTACCGCGTAATTATACCAAAAAAATGCGTAGAATAAAAGGTAATGTAACAGGCAAAATAATTAATAACAACGTTTGTCATGGTGAATTTAAAAATAATTATATAAATTTAAATATAAAATACAGAATATTCTTTGTTATACTCTATTATAAAATACAGTATTAGATACAATTTTCTTATTAATTGTAATTAAAACCAAACTGCCTGTTCATGGGATTAAATAATTGTTATATAAAAGTATATAATTTATTCATTATATTTTAAGCAGATCATAAACTCATAAATATTATGTATAAAGCAAATACTTTTTATTATTTTTGTCTTCATTGTGTGTAAAAATATATGTTTATGACATTCATCTCATATACTGGAAGGAAATCTATGCAAGTTTTGTCTCACACAATACCAACAAATAACCAAAAAGCTACCAATTCATTCAGTTATTACTGCATGTATAAATCGTATAGATGTATAATTAGTATACTTTATAATTAGATAAAAAAATGAGACATGAGAAAAATCTTCCAATTGGAAATTGTACACAATATGTAGGTATATTATAGAAAATTCTAAAATAACTCACATCTACATCCGATTTATCTATTACATAAAAATATTGTATTTAAGTAAACAAATATGAAATAGTTTACAAACAAGTATTTCATATAAAATATGGGATATGTAAGTAATCACTGATTTAAATTAAGCAAATTATCACTTATATCATGAATGATGATAATATGTAACCAACTAACAGAGATCAGTGGAAATGCAAGACAATATTTTGGTCGATTTTGACAAGGTGATCAAATTAAAAAATTGTATATTATATAAATATAAATTATATACTTATGCAGTTTTTTATACATATAAATATAGGTGTGTTTTAAATCACTTATGAGCCACACGCTTTGGAGGCTGCGCCTTGCCTTTGCTGTAAAATATGTCCAAGAAGAGACCTGAAACAAGATTAATAAGTTCGTTTACAAAAAAATCTGTAATAATATTATAAATATGGGTGTATTATAAATACTCTGCCACTCTGTTACCCTTTCTCCTAAGTCACTGAATCAATTATGATGAATTTGATATATATAATTTTAATATATATATAATTTGATATAACACAAGCAGAACAATGAATTTAGGACACCTTTTGCCATAAGTCATCAATTTGACAGGGGTGAAATAGGAAATGTGTATATATATTACCGTTAGGGATAGTGATAAAAATATATGAATAAATGTTTCTGAGTTTTAATGTTTGTAGATTTACAACAATACCTACAATTTAATTTATTTAATACTCATTATTTTCATTACCCGTTTATAAATGTAATTAAGCTCTAACAGCAATAAAGATTTTTCCTTTAGCATCTTTCTTTTCATAATGGTAGTAAATTCTATACCCGCCATTTCAATACGATATAAATATTCTGTAGTTTGTATTTAGTAGTTTTATTACATTCGTACAGGTAAAATGAAAGAGATTTGGTATACAGAGAATATATTCGGATAGTATTGACATAACAGAAAAATGATATATCAAAACATGAACGTAATATAAAAGAACTATAAATTCAAGTACAAATTTAGAATAAAAAATACATATCTGATCAGCCAGTTCATATTTGTCTAGCATAGTTACAAATGTTATTTATATTTATATCAGTTGTTTAATAATCATCAATAATCAATCAATAATCATAGTAATTGTTCATGGTTATTTATTTTCAGTTCTCCCAACCGAAGCTCTTCAAGTGGTGTAACTTTGTAATAATATTACGAATCAACAGTATATGAAAGCTACAAATATTCTATGACTATTATTGTGCATATTTACATGACCTCTTTATACCTACTTATATCATTATTTCTATCTATCTTTTATCACTCAAGAAAGCGTCTATCTTATTGACCAATACAATACAGGATGTATATCATTTACTGATGGAGTATGTTAGGAACGAGAGTGTACGACACACAATGATGTCAGACAATAAAATTAATACACTGGATGTGGTGCTATATGAAATGAAATTTACCTCATCTTTCGGATAGTGCGGCTAAGACAACTTTCTCACTAGTGATGTGATATAGCTATTAGTTTTAGGGTACAATGGAACTTTTAGTTAGTCCGATCTCTAAAAATCAGTGAATGAAAAATACCAATACCAGTAACCAAACTGTATGTTTATATTTTTTTTAATATAGCCAATATCCATCAAAGATTTGGCAGTAAAGTGATACAGGAGTATGTAGATGACTTCGTACAAAACCTACTGGGTAACAGTGACTTACCAGTAAACACCAAAACGGCCCCAAACCACTGTCTTCCAGCCAAGACATTACCGAATACAAGGACCGATGCGAGAACCGTGAAGAATTTCCTGGTGGTCGTCACCACTGAACATGGTAAGGGACCAAATTCTGATACCTGTAACATAGAAAGGTGAAACATTCAACTTTGGATGAATCATCCTTACCTTCTGACATATAGGTACTATAAACATCCACACACTATAAATTATATGATCGAATTAATATAAAATCGTACACCAATTTCTTATGTACTATGGTATATGCTAACGGGGCTCTAATAACGGAATCAATTCTGTTTTTAATTACTTTACTAGTCGTTAGCCGTGACTTTGACGTGAATTTCGAAAATAAAAGTAATTACCCCTTACAACATCAGCTGCGAGTTTGCGAGTGAAAGTTTAATCAAAATAGGTCCAGTCGTTTCAGAGATTGAACAAACAGCGGACATTTAAAAAAGTACTAAGTATCGCATAATTAAAAAGAAGAAAATATGAAATGAAAATACTTGTGTTTTTGCAATAAAACAGAAAATAAATTGACGACGTCTGTGGTCTAGCAGTTTAGTACACCGCCTTACTTCTGATGGTCGCGGGTTCTATTCCTTGCACGGTACAAATATTTGTATTCATGAGTAGGGTCGGATTGATAGGATCGGTCGTTCTCTATGTATATTATGTATATATTTACAAAAAAATATGTATCTATTTATTTATATCAGTTATCTACAAGCTACAACACAATCTATTGTAATATTAAATATATATATATATATATTAAATAAATAAGAAATAATGTGGCAGTCAACTAATGACATTGTGAACGCAATACCTAACATACCATTTCCCTGAGCATTTAAATATCATTAGATTCAAATATTCTCGAGTAAAAAAGAGGCAGTGCTCGTCTGTCTGTTATTTCAAGACCTCAGCATCCACTTTTGTACAAAGTAACTATTCGTGAAGTTATCATATTGTTTTCTTACCATGAAAAATATGAAGAGCTGTCCTAAAGCACCGGTGAGTGCGAATGCGGTCAGATAAACCAACACCTCCGGGTACTTAGTTACAAAAGTTATAAATTGGAAGATTTCACCGCTAAACACAATAGCGATAGATAATATGATTGTTGACCTGTAACAAAGAAAACATTTTAAATAAAAAAGTAATATAGCTTCATATTTGCTAAATCTTGATTGACGGCCTCGGAGTTCTAGCGGTTTAGCACACCACTTTACTTCCGATGGTCGATGGATTCGATTCCTCGCACGGTGCAAACACTTGTATTCATGAGTATGATTTATTTTACAATAATTTGTTATCGATCTGGTTCTTTTCTAAGTATATTATGTATGTATTTAAAAAACATAGATTTTTTATTTTGTTGTCCAGTACCCATGTCACAAGTTCTGGTTACCGTGGGACTACATGTGAAGTGTTATTGTCCAGGGTGATTTATTTATTTAAATTTAATATTTTTTAATAATGAGCATTACATTATCAAATAAAAAAAAAGTAATCACGATTATATGCATTCTAAATAATAAATTTAGACTGAATCAGATTGATGTTGGCATGTACCATGGTATATTATCTGAGCCTTTATCATCGCCAGCAATTTTTTTATTTTTATCATATAATACAAGATAATATTAGGAATAAGAAACGAAGGGAGTGGCATTATTATGGTAAATGTTTCTAAATAAAATAAAAAATAAAAGAAAATTATAAATACAGGATAGATATAAAAATTAATGTAAACAATTTATTTCAAACCTATAAAAAATACATAAATCTTTATAAAGATAATAAAAATATACATTTAATAACGCCTAAAATAGCAAAAGCTACGACACGCCACCACCCGAATTCGCCCGATTAGAGAGTCCAATTTCTGGATTTGTATTTGCCCTAAACAATATCTGTTAAAAACAAAATAAGGTGTAAATATATTTAAAAATGTCGGGCTTGCGTCCATTTAGAACTTGTACTAGATTAATACAGTATATGTTGTCATCTATTAGAAGTTTAATTGACCTGTTCATCATTTTAGCCGTTTTTCTATTTTTATTTCTGTCATACGGCTAATGCTAGTTCAGAAGCAAGGACTACACAGAAATACTAAAGGGATTGATATTGTCTTGAAAGTGTGCCTATTGTATAAATAATATTGTAGCGATCCTTCTGAGTTAAATAAAGATTAATATTATGTAATAAACGCCGATATAGCTATGTTTACAACAGTGCGCATTCATGTTCATGTTGCGTCTTCATCTTACGCTTGCCTAAGAAACCAAAGTGGATGCAATAGCGTGTTGAAACTGTTTCGATAACCACGCAAGCAATATTTCGTACAATTTAGTAAAAAAAAACAGTAAATTTTATTGCAAATTATCGAATAGATAATATCAAAAGCTTGTAGAAAGTCGCTTCAAATAATCATTTATAGGACATTCAAGGACATTTCAAGGATGTCATTTTTTAACAATGACAGAGCGTAGAGTTTAGGTCTAAATCTTTCTGCTTCTTCAAATAATCTGTCATCCAGATTCACCTTACCTTGCACTTATTTTTTGTTATTACCACTAACTCAGTAAACTATTAAACTATTCTCATTGATAGATCCTAGAAAAGCTGAAGAAAACGAAAATTTAATCGCAAATTGGACATGAAAGTGTATTTAAAGGCGCACTGACTGTACGAGTAGACTTAGGTAATAGTGTTTCTATACCGAAACTTACAACGGATTCCGTTAAATTAGTCAATTTGCATAGTAGAAAATAAAAGATAGTACAAATATTAGCAAATTATGAACATTTATATTTAGATAAAAAAATTGTTTTTGAAAATATAAATATCTTACCACCAATTTGTGTTCAACATCATTGAATAAGCACTGGGAGATGACTCGTGCTTGATACGTTCCTAAAATAAGACAATAGTTATTTAAACATTAGTTTAAACCACAACAGCTCGCCAAAAATTTTTTGATAACAAACATTCATTATACAAACCAACCTTTACGTTTATAATATTAGTAGTAGGGACAGTTTAAATTTATTAAGGGTAAATTTAAAACTTATTGATAGCCAAGAAAAAAATTTTTTTACAGCAATTGCAGGTCTAAAATCAACGAATCTCAAAGAGAATATATAAAGCTCAGTGTAGATAGAATTGCCTTTTGAGTGTATTTTTTGTAGCACCAATGTATGGTATAGGCTTTGTTTTTTTAACCCTTACAAAATCTAAAGTTTAAAAAGATTAAACTATTACTATGTCACCACAATACAATAAACTTTTACAATACTATAACATAAGTATAAAGTTTTTAATAAATACCTGTACAGCGCCAGTTAAGCCATCCATGGTCAAAGACAGGATAATTAGCAATTCCCCTAGCCCAAAACCCTGGGAGTTAGTAGTTTTGTTGCTCTGATCCTTGTATAAAAAGAGTACCACACCGGTAACTATTAGCAGTACAAAAAGGTACTTCTTCAGTGGATAGGATTTCCTACCAATTAGCACTCCAAGAACCATGACTGGAATTGGCTTGGCTGCTTTGCCCACCACCTGCAATATTGTTGATAACAAATCAATGACAATTTTCTTTCATTACTATCAACCAAAGTTAATAATAAACTGATTTAATAAAAATACAACTATAAATTAGTTTACACTTGATGTAGCAAAATGATAATGTAAAAAAAAACTATATATATCGAAAAATAATAAAGCAATAAAAAATAATAAAAGTACATATAGACAATAATCACTTAAAATAAAAACAAATTATTATCTCCCCAAATTTTGTAGATATATACATATATGTTGAAATTCAGAATATCTTTATTCATGTAGGTCTTTTACAGACTCTTTAAGATCTGTCAAATTTACCGTAAACTGAGCTCATATTCTTTTTAAATAAATGTAGTACATATTTAGAATAATACAGATTCATTTAAATTCAAATTTGGGAATGTGGTAATGGGATAGGGTGCCACCATATGCTATTCCAAAAACAAAAATTGTAATCAGTGTTTGTAATCTGATGTATGTATAATGGTGCACCATACTCTACTGTGCCGATCTACTCGGGAATAGCAATTCATGAGAAATAATCAAATCATGTCATATCCTAATGTTGTTCATGAATAGGCGATGGTTACCATTTCTCAACTGATGTGTCTTTAGTTTGTTTACCAAAAAGAATAGTAGAGTACTTATATAAAACTTCAATCTTCCAATACAATAATACAAAACTTCTAACTTATAATTGTAAAGTTAAGTAGTTCAAGTAAATCCTTATAATCAAATATTACAGTTAATAAATTTATAAATATGAAAGATGAAAATCATCCAGACCTGTGTTGGATAGTTAAGCCATTGCAGTGCCATGTTTGAACAAACCATTGCTAGAAGGTATGTCATTGCTGATGAGAAGTAGTACACTTTCCTTGTAGTATCTACATCATGCTTCCAGGATAACTGAAAAATATAAAACATGATGTTGTGAATATATTTACATAAAACCATGAATGAGTTAGCTTGATGGTCATTCTTATAGATCTCTACAAAAAAATTACATTAAAGAGTACCTCATAAGTACATACAATTTTGCTTCCAATATGTATATGTATGGGTATTATTTATTAGACAACTGTACAGGACATTAATGATTACAAAAAGTTATAGTTCTAACTAATACCTCTATAAGAATATTAATATAATCCAGGACCCTGGACTTTTCACACAGGGCATTCTCAAGCTAAGCAAAACATATACTCTGACAATAAACATTTTTAAATACATACTAATTTACAAAGACATTATAAGAACACATACAATGTTCTCATGCAACAAAAAACCATACCAGATGGAGGCGAATTGCAAGGAGCTCTGTCGTCAAAGACCACAACAATACCATACCACAAAATATACCATCATAAAAGCCATAACCACTCTACTAAGAGTGAACGACTGAAGAAGAAAAATTTACAATTAGACACATAAACAATCAAACTCATAAGTGTTTGTATAGTGCAAGGAATCAAACTTGTAACTATCAGACAAAAATAAGGTGGTGTGATAAGATACTGGAGTATTGACCGCACGCTGTCTATAAACTCGAAATTTAAGAATATTTCATGCAATTACTGACAGTTTTCTCATTTAGGTATTTACAGTATTTGAAACTCAGGTTTATCTGTATTATTTTAGAACCTGAAGGTACATAGTTCATATTAACATCAATAAATCAGTTCATCATTCATGCAATCACTTTTTTAAATCCATCTGCATACTACAACACTAACACCTCTGTCTTAAGGAGATGGGTGTTGACAGCCATGGACACAATATGGTTACAATATTATGTGCACTGTAGCATGGTGCGAGTGACAATTGCTACATTTAACAGTTTTAAAATTTAAGTTACTACAGTTGATTTAATATTTTACAAATATGGTTCAGCTAAAATACTAAGTCATAATTTGTAAATTGTGACAACTTTCAAGAGTGAAATGAAACATTACTGAAACTGGTCACCTGCATAATGCTACAACTCACATGGTATAATGTTGTGATTATATTACACAACCCTACTTTGAATATATATATTGAGTTCCATTATTACTATTATACCAATCTAAACATATTAAGGAATAATACTGTCAATTTGTAATCTTTACTAAATTGTTTTTATATTTAGAGTGAAATAAAGACTTCTGTCAGATATTACATTAGACTACACAAAACATATCAAATCATAATGACTTTATTCATGTAATTCTACTTCCGACATTTATATAATAATCTACTGTCAGATTGGAATTTAGTATCTAGCCAAGAAGAATTTACCATAAATTCAGCTATTACTCTTTTCAAATATTAATTAATTAGGGAGAATTTAGTGACAATGCCACCCAATTACAAATTTGTCAAAAAAAGAATAGTTTAATCAATGTCCATAACCTAAACAGATCTATTTCGAAGACAATATAATATGAGACCCAATTGGTTGCATCTAAAGCACCAGTTTGATATATTAACAATGGGTTAACCTGTTTGAATTCTAGAAATAAGTTAAAGAAATGAGTATTTTATTATTTTTAAACTTTCATGTTCAAGGAATATTATTTTATCAGTCACTTCCTGACCATGGCTAGTGCAACCTGGTCAAAACATTGAGAGGTAAATGCCTTTATTTGCCATAAATTTATTACTATTAAGATCCGGTTAATAATATAAAAAATGAGGATATCATTAGTGAGCATAGTGAGATTTAATCACTAGTGAGCAGTATTGCCACATACATAACACTGCAAATATGGATCCATGCTCAAACAGTGAAATCTACATTATATTGGCACAAATTGAAACATGAATACACATTTCTGTTATCAAATGTAAGTATATATATCAATTAATCCAGAATACTGAAATGCAGATTAAGAGTACTACATTCATTACATATTGAAAGAGAGACATGAGCTTCTTAGGCTACCATGGATTGTGTGGCAGAGTGGGAAACTCCAAGCAGGACCGGGAATTGTGATTCAGGTATAGGTCTAAATTCTTCAATTTATAACATTTGAATCAAATTTAGCCTTTTTTTAAAGGGTTGATATCAAATACAATGAAAAGCAAAGTCAGTTATGATGTAAAATCATAAGAGCCAGGCTCTTCTTGGCTTATTTATAGGTGATGGTCTGTCTTATTAAGATTGTTATGTAAATAAAATTGTTGACAATTGCATGTAGGGATAGTGTTTCCTTCGTAATCTATTTTTCTACCAAGATATTAGAAAGGCACTTCGCAAATGGTGGCATATTTTTTATTGAGGGTTTTGGGCTATATTCAGGTGTTAAGACCCTTAACACTAAAACCTACATAGATATATTCTGTTCACCCCTTTTTCGTATGCTACCTAGGCCCATCAGAGATAACAATTCAAGGATATTCTTAACAGGGATGGTTTATACCTCCTCAGGATATGGTGTACACTTATCACTTAATATAATTGTTAGTAGTGCATTGGTTTTAAATATTGTTTTACTGCATGGGAGTGGAGGTGTGTGTATGTGTTTGTTCATAAATACATACTGCAAAATTAATTTAATCTAAGTATGCTAATGTTGACTTTTTTGCTAAATAAATGTATATTATTATTAAGTATTGATTAGAGTAGCTCGTTATTAGGACTTTTGAATGTACTAATCCTGGCATATTCTGCCAGTGATTTAGTGGTATGGTAGTTGCATTTTGGCCACTTATACAGATTTCCTGGTAAATCAATCATCATGTAAACTAATACCAGTCATATTTAAGTACATATTATGTATATTATTTTAATTAAATGTCTATTATCCGGTACAATTTCGGCTCTTTTTACCAATATATAATATATATTGTTAAAAAGATTAAAAATAAGTTGATTAATACTTCAATTAAATTAAAAGAAATAAATAATTTTAACATTAAGTACATGTAAGTATATACCAAATATACTTACAAGTGAATCAATAATACTGAAGTAGAAATACCGAAGCGTAGATGTGATTAGAAAATAATATGGATAAAATGGATGCTTAAATATTATGTACTTACCATCAAAATTTGTGCGAATATGTAATTCACGATACACTGTACCAAAGTGAGGGCCAAAGCACATGTAAATTGCTCATTATCCCCATATTTCCCCCTTGTTATTTTCTCTTGTAATAAACCAAATATAAAGTAACAAATAAATATAGCGCCAGCATAAAATATGAATCGAAATTCACTTCTATCCTTAGACATTGTTATGCACTATAAAAACACGAAGTAATTAATAATTTTATGTCAAAACGTGATCTTGTCCACCTATAAAATGAACTAGGTGTAAATTGTAGGTCATAAATTGTTGTAGTGGACACGTATTAAGACCAATTTTATTTCATAAAAATCGAATTTTCTTAGCGGCAAATTACAAAACAACACGTAGACCACAGATGAGGCAGAGTTAACGAACAGTGACGTTGACACGTGCTTAAATGGGTTGTCAACTGTAGAAAGTATTTTACAAAGGCGCTAAAATATTATATATTGAAAACCCATATTCGTACTTTGAAGACCTAGAACCTAAAATTCAATACAATTCCCGGTATACAGTTACGAAAGTATTAATAATTGTAGTTATGTTTTGTACTTAGATGTTGCTTATTGCACCATTAAAAGTTATTTGTTGGAATATGGTATGTGCAATAAGTTGAAAGCAACGAAATTTTATAAAGAACTTAATAGATTAATTGTAATGTTAGGTACATTTCCAATATCTTGAGGAGTTTACCCTTACAACCCTTTTTCGCATTAGAAAGTAGCCTATGTCCTTTCTCAAGATCTAGGTTATCTGTGTTGAATGAACATAGAGGTTCATATACATAATTGTATTTGAGTAATAAATTCTGTCATTGTTAAAAAAATATATTGATAGATTAAAAGTTACGTTCAACATCATGTTCGTTTTTTATTAAAAATATCCATTAAAATCTAGGTCATTTCACTCGGAATATCTCCCATTTCAACAATCTGTGTACCAAATTTCAGTTAATTCGGTTCCGTAGTTTTGGCGTGAAAGCGAGACAGACAGGCAGACAGTTACTCTCACATTTATAATGTTAGGATATTATGTTATCTGTGCTAATACGTAAATTTTAATTATTATTTATTAATTTGGGCAAACGTCAAAAAAAATATTAAAATATTATTATCGCAAATACAATACTAGCCCGCTATAGCTGTTAACATGATTTGAAAAATTAATATTTATACAGGTCAGGGTGACCTCCACGTGGTTCCCCTGGAACCATAGTGATAAATTTCCTGTGAATTTGTCACGATGAGCTAACTGACCTAACTTCATGTTCATCCTATCATCCTCCACTGGTGCCCCGCCAGCGTAAACCGTTAGCGCAGGCGGGTGCACCATTCCATTATCATCCTCTAAAAAAAAAATACCTATACCTCTGGCTAATGGCAACACAAACCGCCGGCGCCAGAGCTAAAAGAAGAGAAAAGAAAATCTATACCTATATTTTAAAATTAGAAGGCAAAGTCTTTGATTCGTGAGGTATTGTATCCGGATTTTTATAAATGTTGCATAAAGTATTCATCTTTTGTAATTTTATTCCTCATGTACAAATCCTTTAATAGAGTTTTCTAATTACCTGAATTATACATTTTTTTGTACTGTGAAGTATACATACCTACTTCTTATAGACTCGTTCTTAGCAACAAACATTAGGTACAACTTTACTGTCATTAATATTATATATGTATGAAATTATCAAAATAAAAACTAATGTTTTTATTGCTTCTTAATATATTTCTTATAAATCAATATTAATATTCCACTGCGCTCAATTCTAATTTACTTAATGTGTACAATACAAAAAAAAAATAATTGTCAGTTGGGGTTTTCCCGCAAAGGCGCATTTTTAGAAGGGGATAGTTATAGGGATCAAATGAATGAGAAGGATAAAATTAAACTAAGGGATTTTAGCATACTATTTCGGGAAATTAAGATTTTTGTGAACACTAAACGCAAATCACAGAGTACTAAAATTCTAGAATGAACTGTCAAAGACAGTCAATGTCAAATAATGACATTAACAGACCAGACGAAGTTTATTTAAAAGTTGAATGAGCAACTGAAATAAGCCACAGTTACAAATCACACTGTGTTTTGCTAACCATGAAATTGGTAAATTCATTGATTAAAATTTATGACGGTCATTTAAAATAAAGAAGTAGAGCATCCAGCGCCATCTTTCCCGAAAGTGACGTACTACTAAATAACAATTGAAAGGAATTCCTTTTAAGTTATCACGATGAGCTGAACTCAGGGTTACACTTGAAAGTACGCAATTTGAGTTTGGAATTGTAAAGATGGCGCTCTTCAGAATTTTTCTTGTCTTTGCAACTTACATAGCAATCTATTATATTTTTTAGCGATTGAAAGAAACCTAAAAGCATATATTTCTACGAAATAATAGGAAAACAGAAATCTTGCATATATAAATATTTAACAGTACGGATTAATAGAATCCATACTGTTAAAAAATTGGTTTTATCGATGTCAATAGTAATAGTTGAGGCAATTATCCAATAAAAAACCTAATAGGTTGCGTATTCATGTAAGGACACAACTATTAATGTATAATGATTTTTTATACGTAGTTTCATCAATTTGTATTTACATACTTTATTGGTTCTTGTCATATCGCTTACTTTGTTAACTATTTAACGTGAAACGGAACGTTGTAACTTGTTGTGCCATGCTTGCTCTACTTGAAATCAACTCTATTACATACATAAAAGGCATATTATATCTTAATCCTTAATTTAACCCAACCACGGCCACATAAAGAAAAAATGTAGAACTACGATGTAGATTAGACATAATAGGTTATTTCATATTAAATAATTTAATGTACTTCATTCATAACAAGACGTGTTTGTCTGCCGTTGACTGTTTTTGTCCTACTGAGTTTTTATAAAATATGTTTGTAACCAATGTGTACAAGTTTGACAGTTAGTAGAGTTTTTACACTATTAAGTTGTTAAAGTTTACACTTCATATTCAAAGTTCTGATTTATCGCACGTTTAGTTTCGTTGAACATAGACATGACTTTGAAATTGTGGATTTCTACAATTATAGTCGTTTAAAAGTGAGTTCAACTTGTGAAATAACCTACTTTTTAAGTTACTTATCAAGGTCTAAGTAGGCACTAGGTAGATGACATAATAAACGCGGTAAAATTCAATACAATTATGTTTTATTTTGTGCTATGAGTCATTATCCGGTGGTAAGTATTAAACAGTGAGTGCTTTTGTTTGAGTGTTTGATGCATTCTTTAGGTACGTAGGTGAATGATAATGATGTTTACACTGATAAAGTATTTTTATAGATATTTAATATTCCGTTGCTACCAAATTGCTGCATGCTTTAAAATTACATCTACAGTTATACACTATTATATTCATATTTTCTTGAATATCATACAATAAATACTGAAGTAATAAATTAATTTATAACAATTTATGTTTACTTTAATACCTATTTAGTTAGCCGTAAGGAACTACATACTTTAATATACGAGTTATAATAATTCTGATCATTTTCATCGTCTAAATATCCATTTCCATATTATAACTATAAATAATAATAGTAATTATTATTTAAATAATAGTAATTATTATTTAGGAAGTCATTTTTTATACATAGAGTCATAAATTTGACAACACCTATAACCTTTCGGTAGGTAGATTTTTAACTATTTTACTAATTATGTAAGTAATAGGTAATACCTATTAAGTGTATTTTTATGGACTATTATATATATTCAATTTATATAATAAGTGACTCGCATTTATCCTTGTTACGTAGGTAGGTATAGATAGACACATTACACGTTGTATTCTATGCTTATTGGTATAGTAATTAAATACATGAATGATACACGAACTTATAGTATATTCCTTAATACTTATGATTAAAGCAAATTCGTCGATAGGTATATCTACAATTATTTTCGTCAGTAGATTAATTATGATAAATATTTCAAACACGTAACAATCAATAATCCTTAAAAATCTCATACAATAGCTCAATTTGGCTGTTGATTTTCGTAGGTAAAATCGCGTACAAACTTGTTCTAAGATGAATAGTTTGGTCCTTGCATTATATGCTTAAATTATGAGATTTTTGCCACCTCTGTTTACAACATCGAGAGAAAAGTCTCCTGAATCTTGGCAAGATGGAATTAGGCATCTTCTTGTAGCATCCTCAAGATTCAGGCGTCTAATTATTTAGGGTTAGCGAACTTATAATTTACTTACGAATAAATATTATCAAAGTGCCAATAACAATGTAGTGATTATTTTTAAATAATTCTACTAAATAATTTTGTTACTTTAAAATCAAATGAAAAATGTTATCGGTAGAGTATCCATACGTTGCATTACGTGCCATTAATTTCCGTTTTTATTTTCATTTAAACTATTATACATATATAATTATCGTAAATGAAATAATTAAGTTTTATGTATATTGTAAATCAGAGTTGTTTAATTGCAATTCAAATCTGAGGACCTCAAATTGCAGTACAATATAAAAACAATACCCGCGTGTACTCTATATTTTAAAACAACAATAAAAATTCTAATCACTCTATGAGAAGTAAAAAATGGTTATTCATTTGAAATTATGAATGGGTCCCTTTGTATGTGAACACATATGTATGCAAAAACAATTTACGCTAAGACTGTTAGTGAACGCTACATTTAAAGTGTAAATTGTTATTTTTAGGCTTTAACCCCTCGCTCATAACGTCGTAACAAAAGAACAAGTCTTTGTGAAATCACGTACACTAATTTATTTATATGAATACAAGTATTCCTACTTTAAATAAATTAATAAATAATAAGGGTAATAAACTGTTAAGACTGATTTGCAAGGTAGAGTAATCAAGTTGATTGATAACAATCGACGTCGTAGTGAATCCAACTCTTCATCTGACTACAATTTAGGTATATTTGAATTGAACGTAGCATAGGGAGAGCCGCTGCCCAATGGACGTTGTCGTGAATCCAATTCTTCATCTGACCACAGTTTGTGTATACTTCAATTCAGCGTGGTATCCTAAGGATAGCCGCTGCTTAATCGACGTCCTGGTTAATCCAACTCTTCATCTGACCACAGTTTGGGTATATTTCAATTCAGCGTGGTATCCTAAGGATAGCCGCTGCCTAATCGACGTCCTGGTGAATCCAACTCTTCATCTGACCATAGTTTGGGTATATTTCAATTCAGGGTGGTATTCTAAGGATAGCCGCTGCTTAATCTACGTCCTCGTGAATGCAACTCTCATCCGACCACAGTTTGGGTATATTTCAATTCAGCGTGGTATTCTATGGGTAGCCGCTGCTTAACCGACGTACTGGTGAATCCAATTCATCATCTAACCACAGTTTGGGTATATTTCAATTCAGCGTGGTATCCTAAGGATAGCCGCTGCTTAATCGACGTCCTGGTGAATCCAACTCTTCATCTGAGTACAATTTGGGTATATTTGAATTTCACGTACCATAGGGAGAGTCGATGCCCAATCGACATTATCGGGAATCCAACTCTTCACCTGACTATAATTTGGGCATCTTTGAATTCAACGTAGTATCAGCCAATGCCGTTTTACATCACTGGAGAGTTAATCAGAAATATAAATGGCCACAATTTATTTCGTGTCGCCCAGAGTCGATGTTATGGCCTCTTCCAAGTTCGGCTCGTAAATCACTAGACCACGACGCTCTTGCATTGCATTTACATTTTTTACTGACTATACGGAGCTTAAAGGTAAAGGATATAGTTATACACATTCAAATGTCACGGTAGACATTATCTAGACATTGCATGTCTTGTTCTTACTATGTAGAGATGTTTCCGGGATCATGTTTTTTCCCTATTTTATCCATGCATTCGACCGAATTTTTATTTACAACCTTCATGACGGGAATCATGAAATTTGTATGATAAAATATATATATTTTATCATACAAATTTATTTTATCTTAGCTAATTAAACACAGTGAATATTCATAGCAAAAGTCCTACTAGTCCTAGTAACATTTAGTTTATGGAAAATTAATATTGTTACCTTAGCAACAAATATCAATGTACACATCAAAGCCCATTAGTCAGATTTTCTTTACACTAATTTGTTCAGTTACGTGTGATTCACATGTAACTGAAATCTTCGTTTTTCACTAACATAAAGTTCCTATCATTAAATCATTCGTACAAACAATGTAAGACAGGATTAAAATAAAAAAAAAAGAACAAGATATTGGTATTATAACGAATTTTCAGTATTAAGAAAAAATACCTTTATATTTAATCGTGATAATTAAGCCGAGGAGAGCGAGTAGAAAGTAAAAACGCCAAAATTTCGATTGTAAATATTGCTACCATGCTTGAGTGAGTGGAGACGCAATATCTCTAAATAGACATAGAATAATGAAGCACTACGTGATGTGTAATTCCCGTCGGAAATTGGTCCTGAGGCTAAGATCTTATATTTTCATACCATGTAATACAATTAACACTATACAACCAAAACACGCTTATTGCTGTATAAATGAAATAGTTGAGACAGAGGTACTCTAGTTAATCAGAGAGCAAAACTATGTTTATAAAAATAATTTAAGTATTCCCGGAGGAATATATCGAAATGGTGCCTTTCCTAGTGAATAATAAAGTTAGGGATTTTAGTTTAGTTACCCATACTAGGAAGAACTACTACTATTATGTACAGAATACATAGTTCGAATTTGTTTGTATGTATACATGGCCTTCATCAAAAACGTCATACTTAATGTCAGGATTATCTAGTCTAGTAAATTGCGTCATTAACATTGACAACCGAGGTCAGTTCTTATGAAAGCAGTTAAAGAAATGTTAATACATTATTAGGTATACCTACTTCGGATACTAGAAGGATAGCTGTTTAGCACTCCGGCTTAAATTCCTATGGACATGGGTTTGATCCCCACGTAGGTAATATATAATATTTATATACATATCCGTAAGTGTGTACAAGACGTACAGAAATCTTGATCCATATATGAAGTCTGTATATAAAAACATCTTTAAAGTATCTTTAAGGTCTAGGTCTAGGCTAATTCTAAACTAAGCAAATTACTCACTTAAGCTTAGTTTGGCAATAGATGAGTTTGTGTAAAATGTACATTTTCTCTCTCATTTCTTGCTTCTTACGACATGATATGAAAAAAGTATTAATATGTATTATACATTAATACATTACAAAAGTTATATTACAAAGTACTTTATACCTGATGGATAGTAAAACTATTAAAAATGTTCACCACAAAGACGTAGGCACTGATACCATTTTTAGAACTTTTAAATAATTTTATCTCCAATCCCAATAATAGGTTTGAACAATAGGACCATGAAATAATAAATAATCAATTTATCATTCCCATATGCACTCTTTAATTAATTCTAATCACATTCGTAATCGATGTATTATGTAAATAGTTGACACGTCATACCAAACTATAGGCTGTTTTTGTTTATCATTGAGTTCAATTTGACGCAACCTTTGATGCTAGCTTTTTGAGATTTTCTAATCCATATTATACATAACACATTAGTATTATACATTAGTAGTTACAGGTTATTTAGAAATAATATGTGGGTGTTTATTTAAAACGTATTGAAATAAAATTAAGTATAGGTATGAATAAATATAGACTAAATATATTTATTCATACCTTTAATATACATAGATTTTTTTAATTGCCATATGTCTCATTAAATCAAAATTATGATTACGTTTATAAAATTATGATTATGTATTCTGTCATATTTCATAAAACATAATTTACATTCAGGTACATTAAAGAATCTCGTTGTTTGGAAGAAAAATTGTTGGTTAGTAGCTTAATACTGCAAAAATTACAATAACACAAAAATACATTTTTATTTAATACATAGACAGTATTGAAAAGCTATAGGTAAATAAGCCGTCTATAAAAAAATACAGTTATCGCTGGTAAAGCACTGGTCCGTGACAGTAACATTATTTGACAATTTGATATTTACACCTGTTAATTAAGTTTCCGAGAATCCGAGAATAAAAATACATAC